ATACGAGAGCGTTAAAAGTAGCATTAAAATTTGGGGTGACGCGCGTCCTGGTGTCGTCGCGAGAATGATAATCTATTTATATGTGTCGCTATAATTTATTCGCCCTACGGTGACGGGTTAATCTATTTCACAGGTTAACCGCAGGTTAATCAACGTATCATGCGTATCACATCTGAACAAGCAGCTTTCGGAGGCACGAAGGATGAAATCGATTCAAAATCGACGAGGCACGCACGCGCCATCATATTCTCGTATTGCCGTGTGCGGCGAAATATCGCGCGCCGAATATTTTTCCGCGAGTGAATGCGCGTTCGGCTCGTCGCGCTACCATAATGGACACGCGAGCGTACAGCAAGATGTTGTTGCGCTGAGTCGATTAACGAGCGATTTCACCGCCGATAAGCAATATTCCTCTTTAATTGGGACGGCAACCGGAGCGACCTATCGATTTTGCCTAACTACGCCACGCGGGGTACAAACGAAGTCTTCCAGCGTAATCCCGCGACATTGGAGGCAACAAATCCGCGCTCAAGGAGACGCGTTTCTTTCTTGAATGGGTAAGCTCATTACCGGCGAAGACGTCGAAGATGACTTACCATCATTATGGATATATTTTATACATCGGTAAACGTGCACCGAGAGAAAAATTAGTATCAATTTGAGACTCTTATATATACATAAGCAAGAATGTGTAATCTTATAGGAAGATAAAACGTTTTTACGCGGATTAATTCTATATGGTTTTAGAGAGATTAAGGTTAAAATCTGAATAAATATTTTCTATTTTTAGACATTTCTTCTATCAGTGTGTAGCACACCTTCTATTTTAGTTTACATCAAAAACATGCTGAGCGAAAATGTCATGCACGATTTTGCAAAATTCGTAATAGTGAGGAATGAATTATTTTGCCCGAGCTAATAAACGTACGGGAAAGGTCTTGGAAGGTCTTCAGAAGTAAGCTATTTTTCTTTATACAGTGTTCGATCTACCTACCCTTTCTCGTGTGCTCATAAGTTCAGACAAAATAATTAGTTTCCCACTAACTACTGTGAATTTTGCAAAATGGTACATGACTTTCCTACTCAGTTTCACTCGTTTTACCTGCATACCACGCGAACCGAGAACGGCTTGGTACACCCTATATACGAGAATATGAATCTTGAACGAAGGGCTCGGTGCAAAAGCCGATCAGCTCCGTTTAGGAAAAAAATATTTTTTATTAAAGCTTATCAAAGCTCATTACCAATAAAACCATTTTTATCTAAAAATATATTAACCGAATGATCTTCACGTATTTAAACGATTTTCGTACGGAAAATGTGCGTAACTTACTTTGCAAAACAGTTTCTTCATATCGTCTATTTACACGATTTCGAAAAGCTGGCCGGATTTCCCAGAAGGAATGCAAAACTTCAATTGATACCGGTTCTTTTTCCAGCGGGCGCGATTCTCGAAGATGGGAGGCCACCCGACGCAAGTTTCGTTGCGCGACTCGAATGCTAATTGAATTAGAGACGAACGAAAAATAACATGCGCGGGAACTATCGCGCGTTATTACCGGAGCCCGGTATCGGATTACTTCAGTTTTCCGGAGCTGACGGAGCTAACTTCTCCATCGCGCGTTCATCGCACGAACATGCAACCGAGCGCAATCAATCAGCCCGGCGTGTTCTAAGCCGCGAGCTAATGATACCGGGAACTCCGCGGCCTCGGGACGCGCCAGGGCACCGCTGTCTACCGCGCGTTAACCGCGCGCGCCCGGAGCGAGGCGGAAATTCGCCGCCGAGAAATTCGCGCACATCCCTTCCATCTCTATCTCTCGCTCGGGCTCTCGTGAATTCGCACCGATCCGCAAGCAGATATGTTTACGTCGTATTTTCGACGCGGACTGCTCAATTATTAACAACCGAGAACCTACGATTTACCGTGTGAGTCTGAATTATCCGGTAATTGCACAGTCACGCTGTGCCTCGTAACGACAACCGTTGGCGTTACCGAGCCGAAAAGCGTTTGCGGTTACTGCTCTGTCGCTCCCGAAATAGAAGCGCCACCCCCGGGGGAAAAATGCGTCCGCCAGCGTGACTGATAAGAATTTCCAGCATTTGCATACGCGCCGCGCGAGAAATTACGCGGGTGGAAAATTTAGGGAAAACGCCCTGATGCTACCAACGGTTGCCTGATGTACTTCCCTGCCCGATCTCGATTGCTATTTCGGGAAATGCAGGAAAGAAATAATCCGAACGACATTTCTACTCGCGTCGTTAGAAGCACATATCGCATTGGTCGGTGTCGATTTCCCGTTATCGTCGGAAAGTTTTCCGAACGACTGACGGGTGTAATAACGAGACGCTAATAATTGCGAGACGCTATGCGCAAAGTTAGTAGCATTGTGCGCATGAGAAAAACACGCTAATGGATATTTTATTTCTTTCCTGAAATATTATCTTCTTAATGTACGTTATTTGCAAAATGTAAAAAAAGTGAAGTCATTTGAACGCATAATACATATCAACGTATAATAATACACGTATTACGTTTGTTGACGTTTCCTCGTTATCATTGAAAAGATATACAGACTATGATTGTGATCAAAGTGGTACTCGAGAAATGATAACGTGTACCGTGAAGTTTCGAAGAAACACGCTAATGTATACTCTTTTTCGTAGATACAAATTCAATTTCTATTTCGGAAAATGTGTAGAGAAGAAATAATTCGAATACGTGAAAATTCTTATTTTCCGCGCCATTAGAAGCATGTATTAGTTGTAGCCTCGTATTATTGTTGGTCTCGTTTCCTCGTTATCGTCGAGAAGATATCCGGACTACTAATGGTTGCAATTAAAGAACGCCAAGAGCAAAATTATGTGCGTACAAAACATGAAAGAGGCGCGCCGTAATGTACATTTCTGTCCCGAAATGTTATCTTATCTTTTCCGGAGAATGTAATGAAGCAATAATTCGAACGTACGAAAATTCTTAATTGCGTTAGAAACACATGTCGCGTTTATCGTTTTTATGTTGCTTCCCCATTATCATCGAAAAGATACCCGGACGATTGATCTGTAATTTGTGCTATAATCGTGAAGAGTTGTGAGCAACGGGCGTAAAAAATATGAAAAGGCGCACATATTTCTTTTCTGAAATATTACTTTCTTCGGAAAATGCAAAAAAGCAGCAATTCGAAAGCGCAAAAATTCCAATTCGCTTCGACAAAAACACATGTCACGTTTGTCGGCATCGTTTCCCCGTTATTCCCCGTCATGTTTCCCCGTTATTCCCCGTCATCGTTATTATTGAAAATATATCCGTACGGTTAATAATCTATATAGCGATTGTTGCAAAAAGTTTTCAAAAAAGTTTCAAAATAATTTCAATCTTCCACATTTCAACAACATTTGCAACATTTCTGAAAGAATTCTGCAATATATGATATAAAATGTTGCAACAATATTTCTAAAATCTTTCACATGAAAATAACTTTTCAAAACTCAATTATGTTATCTTTGAAACGTTTCACATGAAATGATTTTGCAAACTTTTCACTTGAACTGTTTCTGAAATTTGTCACATTATAACAAATTAGAAAATTTTCAGTTGAGCGGTCTTTGAGATCTTTCGCAGGCAATAAATCTGAAAGCTTTCTATTTTCCGCATGCGGTTATTTTGGAATATCCTATATATACACATTCTATCAAGTAAATATTGGGAATTGTTCATTTCAAAAGTTCGCGTAAAAGGTATGAAAACAAATATTTTGCTATAAGTTGGTTCCAATGTACCTAATTGTCACATAGAGTTTTGGCGCCATCTGTTAACCAGTTTGTTTACAGCTGTTGGTTTTGTTAATCGACTTCAAGTGTACTCTGCGATTTTTAAAATGGATATAAACATCGAACAAAGAGTTTGCCTCAAATTTTGTATTGCCGACGAAATTTCTTGTGCTGAGTCGTTAAAAATGTTGGAGAAGGCCTACGGTGAGTTAGTTTTATCGAAAACACGAGCATACGAGTAGTACAAAGCATTCGAAGAAGGCCGAGAAAATCAAAGTCATGTTAACTGTTTTCTTTGATTATTGTTGTCCACTCGGAATTCCTTCCGGAGAGGCAAACAGTCAACAAACTATTAAACTAAATATTATCCGGGCCTTATGAGACGTTTGAGAGAATGTTCGCCGGAAAAGGCCAGATTTGTGGAAGAGCAATTCTTGGATTTTGCACCACGATAATGCGCCGTCCCACACATCGACTCCTGTACGCGAATTTTTTGCCAAAAACTTAACGAATGTCATCGACCAAGCACCGTATTCGTCAGATATGGCTCCGTGTAACTTTTTTCTGTTCCCCGAATTCCCCAAAACTCAAATTACCACTTCGTGGAAGACAATTTGAGTCCATTGAAGCCATAAAACAAAATTCGCAGAAGGAGCTGCAGGCCATATCGGAAAGTGCTTATAAGAAGTGTTTCGAACGACTGGATTATTCGTTGGCATAAGTGTATCGCACCAACAGGGCCTATTTTGTAGGCGACAAAATAAATTTGGATGATTAAACCAATATTTTGTGTTTTATTGAACAATTCGCGGTATTTATTTGACAGAATATGTTAGCATCTCCTCCCTGTGAAAAATATATCCAGACGGCAAATAACCGTAATCAAAATGCACTGTACAAGGAGAAGTTACGCGTATAGAAAGGTTAGAAGAAAGTGCTTGGAAGAAAATGCATACTTCCCTCCCGAAATCTGCGAACTTCACCGGGAAAAGCTAAAAATACAACTCGAACTCGCTGGGATTCGCATTGTCAGAAACGCGTGTCGCGTTTACCGGCTTTTCCTCCCCGCAATCATCGAAAATATATCTGGACGGCTGAGTGATTGCATTCGAAATGCAGCTCGCGGTTCTTACGTGCCGAACTATCGTGGTTCCTCAAAGGGACCTCTTGTTTTCGCCGAGAAGTTCTAACCGGCGGAACACGTGTGTGCGAGCACGCCGCGCATTTACCTCGATTCCACCGCCATGATGCCGCTGCCGTCGTCGCCGCACCCACGCCGTGTGCTCCTCGTGGAAACCCCGTGTGAGATAGCTGAGAGCGAGGGTGGGAGGGAGGAAGGGAGAGAGAAAGAGAGAGAGAGAGAGGCACGTAATTATCCTCCGCACGCCCGTACAGTACCAAAACGCGAGGTCCACTTTCCCCTTCGGGGAATATCCGATCCGAAAATAGATAGGCGTTTGTGCAGCTGCTCCACGCGATCTTGCCGGCCGTACTGCCAAAATGGTGGCGGCGTCGTCTTTCTCTCTCGTGGCCCTCGCGATCGAACGCCTCGAAAAAGCGAAGAGCGCAGGATCGACGCTGCGTGTATTCCGTGGCGCGCTTCAAACCTGAAACCGGTAACGTTCACTCCGCAATGCCGGCGAAACACACAGCTGCCGAGAGAGCGAGAGAGCTGCAGGAAGGAGGGGATATCGTAAAATAGAGCGAGAAAGATAGACAGAGAGAGAGAGAGGGAGGGGGAGGAAAAGATACAGATGGCGGAAGAGGACGAAAAAGAAGAAATGCGATAAGAGCGGAACTTCGTACTGTTATCGCTCGGCGTGCCAGCAACAGTAGCCGCGATATTATCGTCTCTCGCTCTTTCTCTCTTTTTCTTTCTTTCTCTCTCTCTTGCGCGCGCACGCCGACAGATTTGCGAGCGACCGACTCGAGAACGCGCGCGGCACTAAAGCGAGTCTGTGTTTTCGCGAATGTAACTCGGTCTCGGTGGTGGTGGTCGCCGATACTTCACTACTACACCGATCTTCCGGCACGGGTAGGGTGTATAACACCGGCGATACCACTACCAGCGCAGGTCATTCCGACGTTGCCAACGTTCGCAATCGCGCACCTGACTGCATACGGCGAACTTGAATTTCCAGTCTGACCGGGGAAGGTTCTCCTCTATAGTGGAATCCTTAGAAAACAGAGTCTGGCCGTTGTAACAGTTTTGTAATAAAACGGCGTCTATCGCGCCGCAGAACACGTGTGCCTATTATGTACCAAATTGATACGTAAACATTTTAATATATATGTACACACTGCAAGTATTCTTATAAATTATATATTTTATAGCTATATATTCAAAACAAAATGATCAATAATTCCGAAATCTTTCTTCCATGTCTGCATATTAATAAGGTATTGTCGGAGTGGCTGCCGAATTCGTATAGAAAAAACTATAAGAATATGAAAAAAAATTACTCATACATTATTGGAGAACAATAGTTTTTCAATAGTATGCTATTAATTCTTCTCGTATTCTTGTAGCTTTTTTTCCGTGTGGGAACTCCGGGAAGAGTGTCGGTAATAAAGTCATTGATAATATTACGTTACGACGTTATCGATGTCATTACATACATGACATGTGTGTTTGTGCACGAGGAACGGAGATCAGAAACAATTAAGAGCCAGTCTTTGTCCAACTAGGCTTCTTCCTGTTACGTCCGTATGAGTAATAATACATTAGCGTGTGTACATATATTTAAAACAAAATGCAGCAGCGCCTTGGTTGGTAGATTCCGAAACTATATAATGCTCTTTTCCAGCCTACTGTACCGGTAATTTCGCACACATTGCCGCCGGATTTTCAGGCACACTAGTTTTTTAAACTAGGCTTCTGTGAGTTTAATTCTAATAGTTGAATAGTATTTTACAGCGCAGTACCCCGGCCTGGTTTCCCTTTGTTCGTATAACCTGCAAAACTTTTGTGTGAAGCAAATATTATCTTTGATTGACAGATCTAGACGCCTTATTGAAATAAGAACTAACCAAAAGAAGCACAATTCTTAAACTTCTTTTTTGGTATAAAGTCAACCAGCCTAGGCTATATTAACGTATTTATTATTATTATTATTATTATTATTATTGTTATCATGCAATAGGATTATGATTCTATGTAGCCAGAAACGAGAATAGTCTAAAAAATTCTGGTGAATTCTGACACTCTGATATCCCCTCAATATCAGTTTCCCGTTAAAATTTTAAATATGGTTTAGAAGAAATTAAAAGTTAAAATTAAAAATAAGACATTAATTTCAAAGAATACATGTAAAAAGTGTCAATTTTAATTGCGAATATCTCAGCCTTCGAGTGGTCAATCGTTTCCTGACTTTACGGACGTATAAATAGTATTCCTGTTAATATGCAGTTAAAATTTATAAGGATTTTTACAAGAAAATAGTTTTACCGACTAACAACCTTAAGTGTACAAATGTGGCGTTAGATTTCGATGATTCGAACGCTCATATCCAGAATGACGTTAACCCGTTAGTATCAGGAGCGTATATATCCGTTCATTTCGCCAGATCGTTGTTATGGAAGCGGATAATTGCGACTTTTTTTACCGGATAGAAAATTGATCAAATCATATTTTTAACATATTCCATTTGACGCGGGTCTAAAGGAAAAGACAGGTATTCAACGATATGGGCATGTTTTTGAAATGCGCTGACAATACAAATGGGTTAAACGTTTTTACGGATACGGATTTCACACTGATTGGTGCGACTCACCCAATAAATGCTTCTCGATAAGTGGATACTAACGTGAAGGAGGGAACGGGAATGAATGATGTGATTTACGTGGAAGAGGATTGGTCTTTAAGATCACGGGAGAGTAACTACGAGAAGGGTAGAAAATCGCAAATTTTATTCTCGAGACAATAAATATGTAGGCTCTCGATCATACAGATCAATTCAACAATCACAGTGGCTGAATTGACATTATCTCCATTATATATATATTTATTGCGATGACAATGCCCTGTTCGTAGAATCGCTCTCTCTCTCTCTCTCTCTCTTTCTCTCTCTCTCTCTCTCTCTCTCTCTCTCTCTTTTGCGCGCGCGCTTTCTCTGAGGTATAAAATTAAAATCTAATACTAAAGTTTCTCTTCGGGCACGTAATTTGTACTTTACGCATACATACACGCACGATGAGCACAGAACAGAAACGCTCCTAACGAATTTGTAAAACGTGATGACTATTGCTAAATTAAGCTTAAAATCGATTTCAAAGCTTCAGATGATCTATAGCCGAGTTCGCGATTCGCATACCCGGCGAGAATTCAAATTCTAACCGTTGCTTCGGAGAGAACGAACGTTGCTCCGAATCTGGAAGATTGTCCGAAGCGAACTCAAGATTTAAAAGTTATCTTAAAGGAACCCTCGTATAGGACTGTTTCTTCGTGTGACGAAATATCCTCGCACAGTGGCGAATAACTCATTTAGAGTTTCGTTGCAATATCGTGCATAGCGATTCTCGAGTGGAGTCGCCGAATTTCATACTGCAAATGCTCGCGCATTCCTCCTCTATCTAGACGGATTACATTGCGCTCTCCCTTTCTCTCTTTCTCTGTTATCACGTGGCGCTTTTAGGAAATTGGCGGGAATTATCTTTACTCGTGACACGTAGTAAGGACGTGGTTCTCCCATCTCTCCGCCTGCCGGCACATCGATGCCGATGGCCGTTGTGTACATATGTATGTGGAGGGTCTCTACCCCTAATTTTTCAGATATATCTTTAGAATCCTAAGATCAATAGAGGCCAATAGGGTGCAGGAAATTGGCCCCTATTGGATTACCGAGGGAGGAAGAAGGAGTATAGGTGAGAATACGTGATGGTCGGCGGCACAGCGCGCCGCCGAGAGAGGGATCCGTGTGGTGAGCGTGCGGTAATCGCCGGCCCGACAAAATTCGCCCCGTTCTCTGGATCGCCATCGGTTCCCGCAGTGGGTTGAGCTCTATACAGCGTCCTCGATTACTCTTCGCCGAAACGACTGTTCCTTTAAACTGTCTCTGTCGCAGCGACATGACCGGCCACATGTGCCTCGGCTTCCGGACTCTTTCACGTACGCGGAATACGGTAATCGTCACGAGCGATGAGCAAGCGCGTCAGCCTCAATCTGGACGCAAGTGTGCGCTTGACAATCCTCTTGCCTCGACCGGCTCTCGCGTTCACTTCCACGGTTTCGAGAAGATTCCGCGTGTATGTGCACTGAGAGGAAAAATGTCGAAAAAGGCACGAAATATTTTGTCGGTAGGTGCTAACGACATATTTACTTAAGTCTAAATTCTGCTATTTATGTAAATAGAATGAATTGTGTACTTAAATTAGGATCATTTTTTTTAAGTCTTTGCGAAAGGAGATTTTTGCAAAGTTTATTATTTGATAAAACTATTTATATTATATTTTATGTGTATATTTTCTCATTTGAGAAATCTTCTCCCTCGGTGTAAAAAATAAATATATATACATATATATATATATATATGTAGGTATAAGTAAGTGTGCTATTGGCACCCATCGAATAAATATATCTTATTTTTTCCATATTTTTTCCTCTCAGCGTATATATGTGTACATATATATAAATATATAAGCGCGTCGGCCGCGTCTCGCGGTTAACTGTAATTGGCACGTGCAAGTTAGAAGCGTCGCCAGCGCGCTGCGCTGTACTGTACTAGACTGCACCATCTCGAATTGCCTTCCTTCGGGCGTTAGTTTGAGCTGTGAGAATGCGAATTCGATCAGCGCGATCGAGGAGAAAGTTCTCGGGTAGAAATTTAAAACTGGGACGGGAAAGGCCCAATATCATTTATCTTCACTTCTATCTAATCTCTGCACAGAAACGTAACGCTCGTACAATTTAGGACCAGTTTCATCTATCCAACTGGCCTTGAACGGGTCCTACGAACCACAGGTCTTCTTAGGCGCATCCACGTCAGCGTCTATTCAGGGTCTATTCACAAAATCCCACTCAAGATTTGTCTTTCTAGGCCATATCTAGGTCCAACGCCGGCAGGCCTGTTTTAGAACCTGCCTATCTAAGGTCACTATAAATCGGAGGTACACTCTCATCAACTCCTAGCCGGGGTTTCCTCGCCAGTCACCGCCGAGGGAAGGTCGGGACCACAGAATCTGAGACGATGACACGCGCGCACGAATTGTTCGGGTAAGTTCATTATCATCATCATCACAGCAGATCGTCGCACTTTCCGACGGCGTCGGGATTATCACGAATGACGCGGACGAGGTGCTCCCGCGAGAGTCGACGGCGAATTACAAGTTCGTACTTTTGCCGACCTCGCTGGTCACATCGAGCGACACGTGCTTCAACGCGTTCAGCCTCTCTATATAGCTGTTGTCGACCTGTATCCTGCCGTTGTCGTCTACGACTCCCTGAAGTGGCGCCACCTTTTCGATGCTATCGGACACGGTCGTCACCGAGGTGTCCATCGTGCTCTCGGTCTTGCAGTCGTTGCCTCTGCTGTAGAGTCTCCGCTTACCGGGGAACAGGTCCGCTATTTTGCGCGCCATCGGGTGCAGCAAGTGCTGCTCGTACATGTCGGCCTCCGGGTCGGCCGTGATCAGGCTGACGACGATGCCAACTACAACGGTGGTCAGGCTGCCGATCAGGGCGTAATACATGTAGGTGATGCTGTAGAGGCCGTACAACGGATTCGAGTTATCGGCCGTGGTGGTAGGCGACGGAGGGGTGACGCTGTTGTAGGCGCTTGTCGTCGAGGTGGTGATGTTCGGTGACGACGTGGTGTAGTCCAAGCGGATCGGTCTGTTGGTGACCCACGGCGAGAAGGTGTCGTTATGGCAGTTCTCGGTCGACAACGGCAACAGCGTGGTGGTAGTGTCGATGCTCAGATGGCCGAAGGTGACCCACAGCGACATGATGTGGCTGAATATCATACCGCAGGCGGCACCTTTCCAATTCGCGCAGGGCACCAGCATCGCGAGGAGAAACACGCCGAGAAGCGGCCCGGACGTAGCCGAGGTCATCAGCATCGATGACTCTATGACGCCGGACAACATGGCCACTAAGAAGCTGATGCAGATTATCAAGATGCCATAGATGACGCCGATGGCCTTGATGAAGCGCAGCTGCTGCGTGTCTTTGAGGTCGCTCAGCCTCGGTATGTGGCTGATGAAGTCCTCGAAGGTCACCGTCGCCAGGGAATTCAGATTCGACACCGCCAATGTCAGCGCGCTGTTGAAGAGAGTCGCCATCACGAGGCCGAGCAGGCCGGGCACGTTGAGGAATTTGTCCTCGACGTAGAACGGCACGATCTCGTCGATCTTGCTGATGTAGCCTAGGCTCATCGGGTCGCAATCGGCGTAATTGGCGAAGATCACCATCCCGACCACCCAGGAGAGCGAGAACAGCACGAAGATGATGGGCATGTTGGCCATCATCGTCCTGGAAACAGAGAAAAACGTTTCCTCTTTTATTCCCGCATTTTCTTCCTTCCTTTTCTCCTCTTTTCCTCCACCGCCACGCGACCCGAGGAACGAGTCAGAAATTATTCGAAGTGCCGCGCGTAACAATTTAATAGAGATTCGCGCAACGACGCCAAGCTCCGTGATAAATAGTGGCGGATAAGTAATGTAAACGTTACGCGCGCGCGAGGTTCGCCGGTTGCTATGAAAATGCGCGCTTCGTACATTACTGTAAAAATTAACGTTACGTAATTATTATCCACGAGCGCGCGCGCCCGCCCATGCTTGTTCTCCAGGCTCTTTTATAAATTGTTTATTTCTCTTTTCTTGTTTGTTACCGCTTGTGTAACGAGCTCTCGAGCCGGTATTACGGGACACGCGCGACACCACCGCCGTATCACGTATGCCGCGAGACAATAAGACGAGCCTGATATAATGGCCTCTACACACACGTGCGCCGGTGTCATTTATATGTGCGGAAAAAAATTAAATATCCATTCGGGACTTTTGTACTCTAATCATCGATGTGATTATTATTTCATGCACGGGACGTCCGACGTGCTATCAGTTACACTCTTGTAGTTTGGATCAGTGTGAACAAAAAAGTTCTGTATCTTTTTTTTTTTTTTATAAATAACACGTAAACCTTCGAATTATTAGCGAAAATGGCCATATGGAGGCTTCTTTAATTAGTAATTAAAAAAAAATTTGCGATTTAATTTTCTAATTTAACTTTATTTCCTCGATTGCAGAAAATCTGCATGTTATTTGCAAAATTTGCAGTTTATTAACACGCGTCGTACGGGAAAATTATAATTTTATTTCACTTTTCAACGCGTGACTTTCGGGATTCGAATCAAAGTACACTCAGAGTGGATTTATTATTATTGCCCCTTTTTAAACATTCTGCTCGATGTTTGCAATATATCTCGATTTCCTTAGAATTTATAGTTAGTTTCTGCTAGGTGAATTTGTGTTTGAAATTAGATGATAGGGACAGCGCGAACGCAGTCCCTGCTACCAAAAATTTTACGTCCGAGATATCCACATTAGGGATATTCGCAAGAGTCAGCTCGACCGTAGTGCAATGGTAGGAGTCTCATCCTGGAGGAACCGCCTTAATGATCACGGTAACCTCTACGCCAGGTAAGTATGTTTTGCTGCCTCCCTCGGATCTTTTTATAGATCTCTGGTCGGATTTTGAATGCGAGAAGGTGTCGATTTTGCGCCGCATAGCGCGCAATATTCGTACTAACTAGACCTCATTTCAATGTTTCAATATGTTCCCATGGGATGACGGGTTATAGCTAACAAATACCGCTTTACCGAAATAATATTTGAAATATCGTTACTGTTATTGTTTTCTCGAATAATCAATCGTCACGTTGTATGAATCTCCGGACACGACACGAGTGACGTAAAATTTCTAATGATCTATATATTTAAGACTTGCTCTTTTTATTAGTTGAATCAGGTTGTAAGAAAAAAACGAAATTCCGGTGTAATACTAATTCGGTGAACAAAACGGGCACAGTAAATGTTAAAAAATCAATACCGGCAGATGTACATACACGTCCTTGTGGCAATTCGCATTGAGAAGAAGATTTTTAATATTTGTAATTATATTTAATTTAGCTTCCGAGTTATTGCCGCGTTTCTCATGGATTTGTTTAATGGAAATAAATGCGTGAAGGACATGGCAATAACTCATGAAGCAAATTAAGCGTTACTCCACACAGGAAAAGCCCAAAATATCATTTGTAACCATAATTGCATCAGTGAAAAAATTGTAATCAGAAGAACCACTTTGTAATCCAAATTGTAATCAGGAAGAACTTTTCTAACAAATGTTATATTATAGTGCCAGCGATAAATAACAGGAAAAATTAGTATTAATTCAAGACTCGTATTCTCATGTATAAGCAAGAATATATAATCTTACATAAAGACAAAAATTGCTCTTACATGAAGGAATTTTATGTGTCTCCATTAAAATATATTCGTTTTATTTCAGAATAATTTTCATGAATTAAGAGAAAATATTGGATAGAATTGAGAGGAAAAAAATTGGATTCTTTCTAACCAATATTTTTTCCTTTCAACTCAAACAAATTATTATTCTTCTTACAACTACAATTCTTCAAATACGATTACAAATTATTCTTGAGTAACAAAAATATGATATTTTCAGCGCTATTGTGCAGAATTTCTTTATATTGGTACAATTATTATTTTCACGTAAGATTATATAATTCTTGCTTATATATATGAAAAATATGAGTCATGAATTCATATTAGATTTTTCTGTGTAACATCGCATGTATATTTATTGCCATTGTTAGTTTTGGATTAAAACTAGAAGGAGATTAATTGAAGTTGAAAATGGCCATAATTTTAGTGGGATTTCTCACAGTGCGCGACTTTGATTTTAATAGGACAGTCGGGAGGATCATCGACGACGTTGCGACGTCTTCGGATCAACGATGGCGTTTCAGCCGCTATGTTTAGACGCGTTGACGTTTCGCGTAGGATTGGCCGATTGCGCGACGGCGGTAGATCATTGTAACCGAATCGCACCCACGCGACGCCACCAGGCGCACGGCGGAAGTCCAGTGGATTTCTGGATTTGGACATGACAAATGTACATAGCACCGTACGTCCAGCGGATGTGCGCCGCCACAGATTTATAGTGGAAGCTTCGCTCTCGCATTATCTTAGCGCCGCGGCCGGGCGAATTCGCGATCGCACCGCGAAATACGGAAATTCGCGTTAGAGTTTCAGATATAAATAGAAAAGCGCAATGGAGAAAGTCAGTTTTGATTGGCTAAATCACATGATCTAAGCGCCAATTTCCTTTATCCATCACGACTATGGCCGGTATTTCGAATCTCATATTTAAGATAAAAGATTTCTATGGGAGAAATTGCTTTATTTAAAAAGAATTAAAAAGAATATTGCCTTACCGTTCTCTTTCTTTTATATAGCGCTTATATAATTAAACAATAATTTAAACCTATTAGTCAGAAATTTCATTTTTTTTTACTTCTTGTGACGCTAATAATATTAATTATTTGTTTAATCTAATTATTGTAGTTAATCTCTTGCAATCTAACCTTTCTTCCTTACTTATCTTCCTCCTGTCACTTCCTCATTCGTTTGCTTCAAATATCACTGTATAAAAAAAGAATGGCGGATTTCCGATACATCGGATTCAGTTATTTCTCTATTAATATTTAAGACTTCAGCTTCTGCTAATTCAGCGCACGAGGCATTTCGCGACAAAATGTATTCTCTTGCGAGTGTCGGAAAAGTGCATCGTCTGATAAGATCTTGAGAACGCGAACACGTAACGACACGTGCGTGCGTGCGTGTGTGTGTGTGTGTCACACCGCGGGCCGCGTTACTTCGTTCTATTTTTTCGCGTTGCTAAATTCAATATCGTCTAACCGCCTAACCGTTCTACGTGAGTGAGAAAAAAAGAAAGAGGAAGATAACGAACACAATTGGTGAAAGAATTACTGTTGACATACGAAATAGACACGCGAGCGCAGGTGATGATTACGTAACGCTTGTACTCGTCGCTGTTCTTACAGCTTTCCGAAATAACGAAGCGCGCGAATGTCATTATAAATTTCAACGAAATAAAGAAAAGGGCGAGTCAATGAGAAAAGGACGAAGAGTGACGGGAAAAAAACGACGGTGACTGAAATTTTAGACATCGCGAACAGGAGCACATGTGGGGAGAAGCCACACGGAAAGAAAATTAAATATTAATTCAAGACATATACTCTAATTGATGTGATCATTGTTTCATATATAAGTAAGAATATATAATCTTCTTACAAAAATTTTATAATTTTGAACTTCAAAAATATTATTATTTAATTGCAATATTAGAATAGTCCACTAAGATCACAATGTACGATTATTCTGAAAATAATATCTTACATCGAGAAAAAATATTAAAAAATTTATTTGTGAAATATAAGATTCATTTTATAGAGGGGGGAGGGAGGGAAATATACGTTAATCATCTTCCAATAATGTAAACGTTTTCACTTTATAATATAAAACAAGTCATATACTTAAGACCATCTTAAGTTCATTCTCAGATATTTTGTAGCCAATGAAACGACCCGCGCAGTATCTAAAAACATACTTAAGATGATATTAAATATAAGATCTAACTGTTATAAAAGTCAGAGAGAAAATTCAGAGAAAATCCAGTTGTTGGAACAGGATAGGAACCTGAAACCTACTTGCCAGGTGTCTGCTTTTACTACTGAATCACCTAGACTTTTACACCGATATATTCCCTCTTGTCTTTTCATATTATATTATTGCTCCAATCTTGAAATAAAACAAAACATTTGTTATTATAAAAAATTCAATTTAATATTATAAACTACTTTTTCTACGAAAACATATTCAAATAAAAATAATATAATTTTAAGTTAAAGTTATAATTTTAAATTGTAACACTTGGTTTGAAGATATCATTCTTTTCTGTCCAATATCTTTTACTCTCGATTTACAAAAATTATTCTTGAATAACGAGAATATTTTATATTTTTAGCAGAATTATATATTATTATTATTTATATGCAATCTCTTCGTGTTTCATCTACTTAACGTTATATAATCTCATTTTAATAGTAGATATCGAGAATACGGATTTCCTCGAAACAAGAATGTTCTTTCTTCCCGTACAGGTGCAAATCACGATGACGTGTCCGTCGCAAACGTCAAAGTCTTCGGCGCTTCGGAAAAATAGAAAACTCGCGTAATTTGACTGCGATAAGTCACGAATACCTGTAATTTGCATCAATGTCGCAACGATTAGCGGGCAATTTGCGATCTATTACAATGGTGATCGGAGCATTGATCGAATGACCGAATGAGTGGGGGCCCGGTAACTAATATACGTTCACGAGGTATAAGTTGTAAATTAGCCGATAGTGACGCTCGTCACTCCGTCGTAACTCCGTAATGCGTTTCCGGGTCTCACGTCACACATAGACCACGGTGATAAATGACGGACGCGCTTCGCACGCGGCTTTGTCCTTACCGTGGCTGCGGCCGATCTCCGCCGTCCTTCGCGGCGCGAGCGGATATTTACTCGGCCATTTTAATAAACCCGTAGCCGCGCGGTACGTTTAGGGGCGACCGCATTATCCTTGAGAACGTATGCCGACGTCTCTCCAATTGATATTACGGATCTTATTGAACGACCGGAGAGGAATCTCCGTACTAAAAGTTTGGCGCCACGCCATTCGATCCCCCTCCTCCCCTCTTCCCGCCCCTCCCTCATGGGACACTCATTGATTATGTGATAATAGTAACTGCGGGCACACACAATTTCCTAAATCGGCCCGATCGAGCCACTTCCCGAAAACTTTCTGCCATCGACGAAGGCGCGACGAGAAGGAGAGAGAGAGAGAGAGAGATAGGAGAACGGAAAATCGTCGAGCCCGTAAAATCCCTCAACTCGTCGAAACGCGCCGAACTCTATTTTACGGCTCATCCGACGTAGCGATAGCGCGTATGTTCAACGCGGCAGGAGGATGGATAATCGCGCCAAGAGCTACGAATTCCGATGTTACGTCCTGAAGATTTTTATGCGATGCGTCGCGGAATGGTTGTACATGATAGTGAATTTTCTGAAATTTTTACACAGCTGGTAAATTTGCACGACGAGACACTTGTAAACATATTTTTCTCTCTTTCTCTCTCTCTCTCTGGATCAAACGTGCAACTTTATTCCTCCTCGCGAGAGAGATAGAAAGTATTCACTTGGGTCTCCCGAACGATACATTCGCGAGCGATAAAATTTTACGAACGAACGTGATGCATTCGCCCCACCTGACGTCCCGGCTCGGGGATGCGCCCGTAACGTAACAGAATTGCGGCCGCGTGGGCTTTCATATACGCATTCGATTATACGCTGGACACCGGTCCGGAAAAAGCTCGGTTTTTTATCGGTCGCCACGTCTATACGCGCACACGGCGATTGCGGTGGTGTCTGCGTGCGTCAATCGGCCGGTCGGCGGGGATGCGCCGAAGAAATTTTCCGCAATTATGCAGCGCTGCGAAACGCTTGTTTCACTTGCACAAACAACTGTGTTTACGCGCAGATGGATGGGATAAGTGCCAAATAATGAAGGACTGCGGATAAAATCGTCCGGCGGCGCGCGGCTAAAAATTCGCGGGTTGGACTTTAAAATTTTACCGGAAACACACCAAGATCGGCGTACTATTTTGCTTTCGGTCTCTAAAATCCTGTTGAAGGCGTTGAATTAGAGGAATGTATCTGCATGGTTGCAAAGCGTTAACATTTCTTTACTAAAATACATTGTAGTTCTTCGAAAATGGTTTTATATTTTTTTGCGGATGACTACTTAAGAAGTTGAAGAACTGACGCTTCGACAAAGTAAACCTCAAAACCGACACGTCCATGATATTTATTGAGAAATTGTCAAAAAAAAGGAAATAAAATCGTTGAAATTACATGATTTTGTACACTTTTTTTTATCTTTACATATCTTTAATCTTTAATCTTACATATTTTGCATTATGTAGAAGGGGATCCCCTGACTTTTTTTTTGCGACCAACTAACAAGAAAAATCAGTTACCGGCAACTTCAATTGTATCTTTTGAGATGATATTCCACAGCAAAGTTCAAGTACGTCGGTTGAAAAATCAATAAACTTAGATATATCAGTTTTTCGCGTAGTTCAGTGATTAGTTCAGAGGCTAAAAATCGGCACAAAATCCAATGCGATTTAAAAGGTTTTAAATTTACATTATAACAATGTTCCATAAATTATTTGTCATTATCTGTTACTTCAAAAATTCACAAAAAAATTGCTCGAAAACTTCAGCATCAGTGAATTACATTGAAATATTAACTAACGTTATAGTATTATATATTTATATATATATATTATATACAATATAATAATATAACGTTATTTTTTGCAACATTTAAGGGAATCAATTAAGATACATTAATTAATTAACTTTCAGAAGTGGATACTTTGGGAAGAGATTTTTAATACTAATAAATAAATTGGGATACAAAATCGGTTCAACGTGGAAGAGAGATTTCCCGCGTAGGTCTGACGGAATGTCAGCGCGTGCGTCATCACACTGTCGAACATATTTACCCTTCCAAATTAAAAATATATTCGTACTTAACAATAGCACTTAGCTCTTATTGACCTTTTCTAATTCTTAATTAACTGATGTTAATAACCAACTAAGGTCAATAACATAACCAAACGCGAAATTGAATGTAGCACACTGAAAGAAGCAGGCGTTACCTTCATGTAATATTTATTTAATCCAAATAAAATAACCACTCCAATACAGCTTAGCAAATATTCACTTGAATGTGACACTTCTTTCATTCAGTGCAGTGAGTCGCGATCGACCCTGCGAGATTATTACCCTCTCCCCTCACTTTCTCTCTTGTTGACGTTAATTATGTACACATATTTGTATTCACAATCCACTGAATCGGTACTTCGTGCTAAGATCAGAATGATTTGCATAAGTCGGCATGTTACTTGTAATTCCCGCTGACACATGCCGATGAATCATTAATTAAACTCAACGACGATCGCGGTGATAAAAGGTTCTACGAAACAATGAGCGAATGCGTGCGTAATGCAAACATCAGCTGTGACCAAAGTACATGTGAAAACTCAATAAACGTCTCTGCGTCCTGAAAAGGATAAGAAACATGTTTACATGTGTGAAAGGTTCCGGCGGTTTCCTTGGTAGCTTCGAAAATATTTTCGAGTTCTCGAGATAAGAATCGGCGAGAGACAATATTTCCCTTTTGCCAAAACCATGCGCTATTAGAGTCCGTGGAAATGACACATCCTATATATATATGAATATTTTTCGGAGAAAAATATAATAATATAGGTGATGACTAGACGAGCTTTGTACGTATAAAATTAATGCCTAGTGTTTAATAAACTCTTATACAGTTATAGTAATTACATCTGAATGGTTACGATTACGATAACTATAATGATCGAGAACCATAGTTTATGCTCTGTTATACCATTCGAATTTATTCACGATAACTGTAAAATTTATGTTTTATTTATTAAATTATAATTTTATTTATTAAACTATATACAATAACTCTATATGGAAAACTGGTGTAGTTGTTTGCCTTGAAATATACCATTACACGTGCAAGCTTTTGAGTCACGCCTACATTTATCGGTTCACATTGCTTTTATATCCTACACATATGTTATTCTATATCTTTTTTTATTTTTATAACTCAACTTCTATCTAATATATTCGCATGTAGTGAGTTCCTCGTGTTATGCTGTCTGTCTCTTCCCTCCCCATCTACATATATACTTAATCAAGTATCCTAAAGAGTTTTCCAACGAATAAAGAACATTATTATTATTATTATTATTATCTTCATAGTTATCACGGCTATATATTTTTCTCCGAGTGTAGGTGAAATAGAATCTGCCCGGCACACTTCCGAAGTTCAAGATCGTTAGACTCGGCGATTCTCATTAAATCTCTTCGAGAAAGCGCGCGCGTTTTGTTACCGTGATATAGGAAGCATTTCACCTCGGTCGAATTTTCATAACGCGCCTTGGACTTATCATACGTGACAAATAAACGTTCATTTTTCACCGTAATAGTTCACAATATACATGAAGGTTTATGGGCGGGTACCTTGACTCACCGTTGTTAGCTGATAACGACACTCCGATAACAATGTGGCCCGCGCCCGTAGTAATGTTTTTACAGCGAAATATATTTCAATATTACCAGAAAATACCGGCGGTCGCCTCGTCGGCCGCTTTTATTTTCTATATAACGCAGTCTTTATACGCTCTTCGCGCGAACTATTGCCCGCTATTAAACTTTTATATGTGTTTGATGATTTTGCGTGTAGCCTCGAGAAGTCCACGATTGACGCAAATGAGGTAGAACCTCTAGCTTAATTTTCTGCTTGCGAGCATGATGATTAACGACGATTAACGAACTCTTTATTAATCTTGCTGGTTTATTTCAAAAGGATCAATTGCGAGCGGTGTCTTGCGTGTAATCGAATAGTCTAGCTCCGTTGAAACCAGTTCATGTTATCGAGAGCTGCTGCCGATTATAAAGGCAGCGATAGTCAACAATAACGAACTTCGAGAATGTTCTCAGAGGAGTCAACGATGCGAGAGGCGGTAGACAACAAAGATAAACAGTCTAACGTCTCTCGCCAAGGCAAAGAATTTAAATTAGGAAATGATACGAAACAATATGCTACTTTTGCGGCACACAATGGCTGCTCTAAATGACGCGGATTTCTTCGCCCCACCCCCCTTCGCTTTATAGAGCTCTACTTTTCTCTTATCGACCGTTTCCGTGTGTGGTTTCTGTTCACGCCTCGCATGTTTGAACTGATAATTCGCGGAACACTTTGCATAAATCACATTATCTTCGTCCAGATGGTTCGACGAGACATGCATTCGCGACACGTGCGAATTTCAGTCGTTTACCGCTGTCTCGCAGCGCGATTGGGGAATACGTCTGACGAATTGCTCGCGCGCGCGCAGACGGAGAGGGGCTTACTTACTTGACGACCTTCCTCTGGCTGGACATGCTGCAATATCTTTGGACGAAGTTCTGCTGACATCCGAAAATGGATAAACTCATGAAAAGCTGACCCAATGTCGCCGATAATGTCGTCACGCGAATAGTGGGATCCATGTCGAAACTGGAAAAAAGGGCAAACAGGGCGGAGTTATCGGACACGTCCGGAGGGAAATTTCAAATTCCACATTGAGTCCCGAGTGAAGAAAACGCAAAGAAGCTTGTAGCATTGGAAGGAGCGCAATAATTGCTCCGCACGATTCGAACGCGTCCTATTGTCGCGGCGAAAATTTCGGAGGGAAACGCGCAGCGCGCGAAATATCTCGGCGCGCCGTGGCGGAATTTAATAATTTTGAACTTTGCGAGGCGCGCGCGCACGTGAGCCGCGAGGAATTTTAATATGAAATCACATTTCACAACGTTATATTTGATCTGTTAGTTTGCATCGTGTGTTTTCGCCGTGATTAACGAATGCTAAAGCTCAATGAGCAGTGACGCGGGAAACACGCGCCGGGGAATTCCGATGTAGCGCGCGTCGAATTGAATTCACGACGAGGCGCGAATCACCGAGACGAGAGTCCCGCGAATTGTCGAATGCTCACGTACTTGAAGAAATCCAAGCGGCCGCGCTCGTAAGTGACGTTCAGGACGTTAGCGGGCCCGCCTACGTTGACCGTTCCCTGCACGATGATCACCACTGATACTCCGATCATCGCCAAGCCTTGTATAACGTCCGACAGGATAGCGGCCTTTAGACCTCCCTGAAAAGCAAAAAATACACCGGAAAATGTACACAGAGTGCATGCGTGTGTGTGTGTGTGTGTGTGTGTGTGAAAAGAATGATACACGAATAATACACAGGAGGAGAGTTATTTTATTATATAATTTCTCTCCTATAATCTCTCATATATAAAATATAACTTAACCCAGATAATTTTTCTCTCGTATTTTATATTTTATGAGAGAAATGATTTGAGTTGAAACCATAAATTATTGTAATTCCTCTCATATTACACAAAAAGGGTGTAGAATTGAAGCCAAAAATATAATTATATAATTTTTTCTTCCATTATACACTATATTATACAGGTTATACAATGTATTTCACTATATTACACACATACAGGGTGTCGCAAAAAAATGTTACCATACAATAATTGTTCATAAAGTGTTTATTAAACGTCGTACAATTTGCTTTCAATGCAGCTAATAAAGCTAATAAAGTGTGCTAACATTTTTTTGCGACATCCAGTATTATACATATTATATTATGAGAGAAATTATAATTATTTTTAGCTTCAATTATACCCTTTTTATGGTTTTAACCGTAAGTATAGTAGCAGAATTATGCATGGAGATTATTATCGCTGACACTATACAGGGTGTCCCAAGCGAATAGGAACAAACTTCGGTGAGGACGTAGAACAGATCGAGGTGAGCAAAATTCTTCTTTGAGCCTAGCGGCAGGTTCAAAGTTCGAAGTTCAAAGTTCAACATATTGATGTCTGTCGCCAGATATAATAGCTGACATATACTTAAACCGTAAATTAGGCCACTTTGTACAAAAAAATTCTTCACTATTTTGCAGATAGCGAATTTTTCAGTTATTAATTAAAGAAAACTATATACACAGTCATTTTCAATAATTAATAACTCGAAATTTGGCGTGTTTGCAAAATGGTAGAGGACTTTTTTCTTCACCTACCGTCCTACGCTTTTACGAAGTTTGTCTATGTTGATCTGGGACATTCGTATAGTAACACTTACTGGGAAAATGGTTTTCCCAACTATATTTCTGTGACTGCGATGATTATATAGTTACAGATATGAAATATTTTTCTCTCAATGTAGAATTATTTTCAAGCAGCGGCAAGTAACGCGCGTCGGAAGTTATTAAGCGGCCCGGGCATAGCAAAATAATTCATTCGGTTAATTTTAACGTTGCTAAACGATCAGATAGGAGAGCGGCCCGCCGCTGAAAGAACGCCGGGCCACAAAAAGAGAAAGAGAGAGAGAGAGAGAGAGAGAGAGAAAACGAAGTAGAGAGAGATAGGGAGGGAAGAGGGATGCGTCGTTATATCCCGCACGATATTATATAATAATGGCCCATTATTCCGAGAGTTAAAATTAAAAGCCGCACTTGCGCTTTTCAGTATCTTTTTTATAATATAGAGCTGTTTATCGTCATTTATACGGTGCATCCAATTTGTACGTATGCTTAATTGTTCCGATTTCCCGCGGGAGAGGAGAACATAAATAATAATCGTCGTTGAAACGGGACTTCGTTGACGGAGAGGCGGCCGCGTATTTATTAGAATTATGACATAGTTTCATTCGGCTTGCCCGCGCATCTCCCCCCTCCCCTCCGAAAATAACGAGTTATCCGACAAATATCCGTGGAATCGACGTGAATAACGTATTTCTTTTTTTTGTTTCGTCTTCCTATTTTCAGTCGGGCGGGCGGCTATTGAAAGCTAGGTATAATTTCGACGAGACTCTCGATTCTCGGCAATATCAGCACGAAGGGGGCAGCGGAAGGGAGGAAATGCAGCTCGCGCAGCCAATTGTCACGGATAAACGTTGGGAAACATTTTCGCCCAGATACGCCGAATCCCGTTGAATTCTGCGCGGCGCATTAACGCAATCTGCGCTCTTTTCCGTGTAAAAGCTCGCTTTAAACAAACTATCGAGAGAGAGAGAGAGAGAGAGCACATTATTTTTCCACGATTAACCACCGTCCCGCGTATTGTCGCATCGACGGCGACAATAAACGACGACAGCCGGCAAAGTACACGCGAGCGCACTTGTATACTTGGTGAAATGACGCACACGTGCACGATACACACACACACACACACACACACACAGCACGTGTCTCTCTTACCATAATCGTGAAAGCCACGGAAATGGTGGTGATCCCCACGATACTGGCCCAATACGGAAGCCCTATGACCGCTTTGAGCGCGACGCACGGGGTGAATACCGTGACCGCCAAGTTCAGGAGGCTCCGTATAACGTAGGAGAAGCTCGCCAGACATCTCACCAGCTTCGAATTGAACCTGTAGAATTTGCATAATTAGGAGCAGCTCGGAAACGGGAGAGACGCGTGCGCGCCGACACGACGAATTAGCCGCCCGCTAATCGGACACGATCATTACGTGCGCGTTACATTGTTCTCCGCGACTCACGACGGACATTGTTCGCCGGTCTGAAGTGTATTATTTAATACTAATATATCTATATATACNAGAAATTGGCTGGGCCAAACAGATAAATACATATTAACTAGATTCTGGTGAATAATTAGTTTCTCTCGGAAATATTTCCACTCGAGATATATATATATATATATCTCGAGTGGAAATATTTCCGAGAGAAACTAATTATTCACCAGAATCTAGTTAATATGTATTTATCTGTTTGGCCCAGCCAATTTCTGTGGTTAGTTTTTGTCCACAATGAGAAAAACTCATTCAGTTGAATAATTAAATTCTGGTTTCGTTATGGGCAAACAAATGTTTTGGTTATAAAAACAAAAGTTTGATTCTCTGAACCAAAGGTTTGGTTCTCTGAAGTGAAAATGAATATAAAATAGGTTTGGTTTAGAGAACCGAACGTTGGTTCTTATAACGAAAAATATTTGTTTGCCCATATATCCACATAAGAATTTGGTTTAACTAAATGGGTTTCTTAGTACAGGAAATAAGAATTATATTGACTTTAATTATATTGAATTTAATTATAACGAAAAAGAAGATTTAAAAAATTATTTGTGAAATATAAGATTTATTTCACAGAAATAAACGTTTATTTAAATACGGCGAAATAAAATTATTTTACTCTTAGAAAATAAACCAATTAAGAGGAAAATTTAGGTATATTTCAAAAAATATATATATTCCGTCATCATAGTCAAATTGTTTTCTAACCGATAAATATCGGAGCAAATGTCAAAAGAAACATTTATTTCGCAAAATTTCAATTTCTTTTTCTCAACGTATGATGAGCTGAATTTTGACCGACCAAAAACTAATTAGCATTTGCCGATCTCTTTTACTCGGCTAGTTTTTGGCTAGTTTTTAGCTAGTTTCATCTAAACATGATATTCTACTCAGTTGGTGGGTAGTTAATGTAGGTACTGTTTTGTTTTCTGCTCAGGAACTGGCTGGTTTTACTGTCTAATTACCGCCGAAACAAGCATCGATCAAACTGGTTAGTTTCCAGGTAGTAACCAGAATTCCTGCACTGAGAAACTCATTCAGTTGAATCAGCTAAATTCTTGTTTGACTATGGGCAAACAAATTTTATGTTATATGAACCAATGTTTAGTTCTCTGAGCCTGAGGTTTGATTCTTTGAAACCTCTGAAACTTGAGAACCAAACCTTTGGTTCAGAGAACTAAACGTCTTATAACAAAAAAATTCGTTTTCCCCTAGTCAAACAAGAATGAATTGATTCAACTAAACGGGTTTCTCAGCGTGGCCAATTACTGGCTATAGGTCTCTTTGTTCTCTTTTTGTTTTCTACTCGGGATATATCTAGATAGAGATAGGCGAGCCTGCGAGGAGCTCCCGTGAAATTACCTCATGTCGAGATATTGGTAGACCGATGTGACGCCGAGACTGTAGTAAACGGGCACGAAGATGAAGCAGACGATGGGGTACGCCAGCAGCATACCGTAGAGCGTCTCCCACATGGCGCTGCCGCGATAATACAGTTCCGAGGGATAGCCCAGGAAGGACCTGACGCCGAGCGTGCCCCGTGCGATCGACAGCATCATCGCGCCCATCGACACGGTGCCGGTGGCGAACACGTAGTTCGCCTTAGTCTCTTTTTTCTTCGCCCGGAAGTTGCCCCACAGCGGTATCACGAAAGAGACCGCGATGAAGCCGATGAACACCAGATAGTCCACCACCATCGTTGTAGTATGGCTCGCCATTTCGAATAAGAGAATTCACAGTCGTCCTCTCTTTTTCCCTTTCTCTTCACCCTTCTCTTCACCCTTTTTGTGCACGCACTTCCCGCGGAGTGTGCGTCGCTGCTACCGGCGGTGCCTGCGTACAGAGATCGCGAGAAGATGGTGAGCTAAATCGCGAGGGTGATTCGTGTGCCCGATATACTCGAGCTTTCCTCTCTCTTCTTAACGGCGCGCCAGAAAGCTCGGAGAGCGGACGAGAGTCGTCGTGGCTGGATTGTTCCCGTCGAAAGTGGCGCGCGAACAGTTTACTTTCTTCCTCCCTTTTCTCCCTTTTTTTTTCTCTCACCCTCTTCCGCCCACGCCAAATCCGGATCTTTCTCCGATCACCGTTCGATCAGGGAACTTCGCCAGGAAGCTGCGTTCGAGGTAGCGGCACGAGAGGTCTGATAATAAGCCCCGGCGGTAACGCTTGCTACGGTAGCGCGCGAACACCTTATATCGAGTCTGTCGCGCGTGCGAGTCCCTCTCGTTATGCAATTTCGCGGGACGACGCTAATGTGACTCAATACGATCAATGCGGCGCGATCGGAGCTACAGCACGTATTGACTACTAACGTCGTGAAGCAGTTGACGTTATTATGCTAACGACCTGGTAGGGTGGAGAGAGAGAGAGAGAGAGATAGAGGTCGTCGCGCGACGCAAGGAAAAGACACCGAAGAGGGAACCGCGGGACTGGAGGTGGGGGTGTAGCCGACGCGGGGTGGGAGTCCGGAAGAGAACACGGTGGCTTCTTATCTGCTGTCGCTATTGTTTATCAGCGCCGTTTATCGGCGAATGCGCTCTCTTCGCGTAAGGTCTTTTCGTTGAATTTATACACCACCCGCTCGCCGCCACCGGGAAGGCACCTGTCTCTCTCCGACTTTAGGGAGCATAATTGTCTCGAAGTGGTCTATTGTTTTGCGAATTCGTGTGACGTCGGCCTCCTCGTCATGCGGGAAAAGTATCGTGTATGTATATATATATACATATATATATATATATATATATATATGTACGCAGTCGTGTACTGTAGAAGTTAAAGAAGCACACGCCGGCACGACAAATGCTCTTTTATGATCATTCGCGCAATTCTGTAAATAAGTCTTCGAAGCGTTGTCACCTCATTACTTTATTTCGCCTTCAAACACCGGGACCAATTAGCATGACGTGTCTTTGTAGTTCAATGTAGACACGTTCAAATGTAGACACGATTATTCTGTCACGCGTCAAGTTTCTCGGAACGGTTGCACATTGTATTTCGAAATACGTGCGCACGAAAGAGTAAAAGAGAGGAAGAGAGAGAGAGAGTGAGAGGGAGGGAGGAGGGAGAAATGGGGATTTCTACGTGAACGGTTAACATTTTTTTCGCGAGACTTGTTACCGGCGCAATCGGAATTAATTGGTATGCCGTGTCGCGCGTGATTGATTTACGGGCTTGTCGTCGCTTATTCCTGGTAAATAAATCGACGAGACTGACGTGTCACGAAGTATTCTGGATTCGGGAAACGCGGGCCGAGGAAAAGAATCGACAATGTGCGCGCGGTGTGACGATTCGAACGCCGACGGGAAACTAAGTCATGCATACGCGTATATTACTATTACGATAACGACTTTTAAAAATAGATATCTTTCAGTTAATTTCCTCCATATGTATGAGCATTTTCGAGGAATGACGAGCGAACGTGTGGTCAGTTGCAAAAAGTTTGCGACGCATTTTTTGGAACGCATCCCGCATCCAATGGGAGAATTTGAATTTTTTCCGTGATCCTCGGGAAATACATCTTCCTGTTGGATACGAGATTTGTGGAGAAACTCATAAAAGAAGTGTTGTAATCTTTTGATGACTAACCATACGCGCGATTAAATTTGTATGTCGCGTCTCGTAAAGGAGGAGTGTCGATGACCTATGTCTCCATCAAATCTTTGGAAAATTACAATGCCTGATAATTTCAGATCTGAATACTTCGGAAAAAATTATCTCGTCTTGCAGAATGCTCTACTGCCAGATACACTTATCATATCTTCCACCCGTTAGATAATGTAGTTTCATGATTTTTTAGTGTGTAAATATTGTGTAAACTTACTTACTACTACTACAGGAAACCGACTTAATCGGTTTTTAATTGACAAAATAATCATAACAAATTGCCTTTCGATCGGCCTCCGTCGGCAGCAGAGATATTTTAATGATGCAATTAACGATAAACCGTATGTGTAAGTGCGCGATTCCCCATGGAATGCCGTGGCGCGGCCGTTTAACAATACGTACGAGCGCGACGCGAGCGAGATCGCAAACGGTCCGTTGTGCGATGACATATAAAATTACTGCGCAAATTAATAATATAGTGATGTGGAAATACTGTTCCATTATATTATCGACTGCGATATAATTTATGCGTAATGATAGGCGATCGGTAGCGGCAAATTATATTTCTGCTGCGCCCGTATGCAGGCGCACGCGCGTAACCAGATTCGTGAATTTTCCAACAGGCCGATAATCGAGTTGAAATGTTGACCTTGTAATAAAAACCCTTCAATTCTCTAACAACACAGTGGGAGATAAGATAGTAAAATGGGTTCAATTTTAATTCTAATAACATAATGTACTAACTCTCCTACTTTCCTACTTCAACCCTGATGATCTCTTAAATTTTTGTTTTCGCCGTCTTTTTAGCGTCAAAATAGGTTATTCAAAAGAGCCTTAAATCTATAGAATTAAAGGTTCACGCAAAAAAGAGGTTGGCAAGCGTTAGTATCGTCCAAATATTGGGTTGCCCGAAAAGTAATTGCCGATTTTTTCATAGAAATAAAATACAATTTTTTTGTGCATAGAATGAACTTTAATCACTGACATATTTTCCATTTTGTTCGATGACCTTTTGCCATCTTTCTGGCAACTTCATAATTCCACGCTCGTAGAACTTCTGGTTTTTATCGGCAAAAAATTGATCCAAGTGCGATTTCACAGCTTCATCATCCTTAAAAGTTTTACCATCCAAGTAGTTCTGCAAGGATCGAAATAAATAGTAATCTGACGGCGCAATGTCAGGACTATATGGTGGATGTAACATCAATTCCCAACCAAGCTCCATTAATTTTTGGCGAGTGACCAAAGATGTGTGTGGCCTAGCGTTGTGTGTGGAAGATGACGCCCTTACGATTGACCAGTTCTGGCCGTTTTTCTTTAATCGCTGCATTCAGTTTGTCCAGTTGCTGACAGTAGACATCCGTATTGATGGTTCGGTTCCTTGAAAGGAGCTTAAAAAATACCACACCCTTCCAATCCCACCAAATTGATAGCAAAATCTTCTTTTGGTGAATATCAGCTTTCGAAGTGGTTTGTGGTGGCTCATCACGTTTGGACCATGAACGTTTTCGCTTAATATTATCGTAAACAATCCATTTTTCATCATCAGTAATTATTCGCTTCAAAAAAGGATCGAATTCATTGCGTTTGAGATGAGAATCGCAAGCATTGATACGCTTTGTTAAATGAATTTCTTTCAATTCATGTGGTACCCAAATATCAAGCTTTTTAACGAATCCAAAACGTTTTATATGATCGTGGAGTGTTGATTTTGGTATTTTCAACTTCTTTCCAATCTTCCGCTCAGATATATGACGATCCAACTCGATTATGGCTTTGATTTGGTCATCATCAGCTTGCAATGGCCGACCTGAACGTTCCTCATCTTTGAGTGAAAAATCTCCAGAACGCAACTTATCAAACCAATTGCGGCATTGTCTTTCTTTTAAGGCTTCCTCGCCATATACGTCACGTAACTTTTTAGCAGCCTGCGCTGCATTTTTTCCTTTGCGGAAATAAAAAAGTAAAATATGACGAAAATGCTCGTTATTGGACTCCATATTAAAACTGACGCCAAACTAACAATTTTTTTACAAAAACACGTGTAATTTGCTTTTAAAGTCAACTAAGAGTGACAGCTTACAAACGTCAAAAAAAAAAAATCGTAACATTGACAGAAGACATTCAAACAGACGCTTAAAGCCATCTATTGGAGCCATCGGCAATTACTTTTCGGGCAATAGATTTTTATTAGTTTATTGCCCACTTGAGTAGGCGCAAGCTACCCTTAAAAACGTCAAAATTTCGATTCAAGTACATTCGTTATCAGCGACCTCAAATATCTCCAAGTACCGAGTTTTATCCAAATCAAGTTGCTTATTGCATTTTGGTCCTCCATATCAATATGGTATAGATCCAAATCCGCCATTTTGAATTTCTGAATTTTTGAGTTGGGATTCATGATTAGCGACCTCAGAAACCCCAATATTTCATTGATATTGTCCTAAATATATTTTTCACCTCGTCCTTTGGCGAGCTTGTGTTGAATCAAATGTTGCCCGCCATATGGCGAGCTTGCCTTGTAAAGGGTTAATCGACACTGTAGTAATAAAATGTGTTATCCTGACACTTATACATCGTTGAATATCGATTTAACATAAAATGTTGAGATAACGCAATATGTTAAATTAACTAAGCAATTGTATCAGAAGGACTCGAAGTAATATTTCATTTTAAAACGATACACACAAATCTGGCGTTACTAAATTAATATAAATATAACACACGAAAATGTCACGTAAATGGTAACATATCAGCTGCATGTTAATTTTATGGTTTTACATTGAAGTGATGATCAAAAGTTGGTAACACATGCACGCGAGAAAATGTTAACACTTAGTCACGAGATTTTTTCACAGTGCAACTTCTGCTACGTTGTAGAGCCAAAAGCTTAACATAGAGCCAACAGTTTGACCCGCACACGGCCACGGTGGCCGAAAAGTTTGGCGGTGATTGCGTGTTGATAATCTCGCGATCTTCTCGCGATGTCCCGAAGTTTCCTCTGGCTGTTTCTCCGGCCAGTTCGTCGCAACGGCGCGACTCGTTAAATCCCGCGTAGTTCGTAAGGAGAGGTTAATACGGGGAATTTCCTTAGACAAAGGATACTCGCTCGTGT